GACAAGCGCATGCGCTTTCGGCAGTCCATTCTCCAACGCCACATCAACATCTTCGTTGGAACACACGCGGTGATAGAACCACTAGTCGGTCTAGCGTGGCCACTTGTTGCGATAAGCTGGAACAATCTGTACTGTGCCCTTAGTCTTTTTTGGAATAAAATTGTAGGACCCGAAATGAGCAACCATCTCCGTCTTCGTCTGCTTGTTCGTCACCACCTTCTTGTGAAAAAAAGTCTCGTAATAACGAGCGAAGGTATTCATGCTCAGAGCGCATCTGGACATTTTTAGCGCCATAGCAAACATGCTCATCCGCGCAAAAGCGTTCGGAGTCAAGTGATGGATCTGCAGATTAAAGCGCTGCAGAACTTCGCCAACGAAGTCCTCACAAGGAAACCTCAGCCCAGCTTCGAAGAAATCACGGAATACAACCGCCTCATAGGGCTCTGGGTGAGGAACCTCTTCTCGCCCAGGGGCACAGCACAGCCCGCGAAGAATAGACTTCAGAAGCCCTTGTTCGACGTATTTGTCGAGTTCCGCTTCAGTAACGCGGGACCGACCAATCCGATAAGTAATAGGGGTCAAGTCAGGCTGCCCTTTCATGGCGGCTGGCACTGGTCCAGCTGTTTTGCCTTCCTCTCCCTCCACAATCTCAACATCAATCTCAGTCTCTTCATCAACCTCAACACGCGAAGGACCTGTCTCCATTTTTTTTCCGACACGCTCAGCGAAGCAATGCGAGATTCCGAGCTAGAACCGTCGGATGAGCTCCTGCTAGACGAGTTGGCGCTAAGCGATGACTCACTCAACATCTATCCAAGCGAATTCCATATGAAAACCCAAAATCAGGAAAAAGTAAAAATACGAATACAACAACACACTAAAGCAGCACAGACGCGACAGCAGTAAAGAATAAACAAAGAGGCGAAAACAAACTCAAACCTGCAAAAAGCTCGGCGAAGGCTGGAGTGCTGGCGAGGAGAATGATCACACCAAGCCCCAGCGAACAGCAAATGAGCGAAGACTCCAATTGGGAACTGAAGGTCTGAGGAGCGTGCACGGCTCTCTCGGCCCGGGGGGTTTATATAAGCACCCACTGGGCGTGGCGCGTGAACCAAGGAAATGACGCAACGCTCCGCCTGGCCGCCACGACGGTTCGAGTTTTGAGAAACAGTTATCGCGGCGTGATAACCGAAAAACAGTTGCATAACCTAAAAACGGTCCAGATCTCCATCCTTCACCGGGGACGGTGTTTGGGCCTGAAGGGGGCATCAATCCACTAACTTCGCAAGGCAACTGCGCTCAGAGCAAGAAGTTGCGTCGTGCGTTGCCGAGTGGCTACTGTTGGGGGCAGACCCCACCTTTGGGCACCCCATGAGGCCCATCCGCCGCCCCTCTTCGTTCGCCAGGAATGCACGCGGGCGAAATGGCGGGTGCCGAGAACGTAATCGGTCGGTGTCCGACCGATTGTACGACATTTCGCCCAGGCGAAGAGACGGCCGTGGCACAGAGTGCTGATGCCGGGCCGCGCCTTGAAATTGATCTCCTCTTTTCGCCGCCGAAAAGGCAGGCCAGGAATTGAGGGTCGTTCAAGCCCAGTAAATGGCCAAGCTCCCATTTCACACTGGCGAGGTGGGCAGTGCAGCTGGGATCAGAGTGGAAACGGGCCAAGCTATTCACTCGGACGAATAGATGCTGGTAATCTGTCTGGTTGTGTTGCAGGTTTTCGTCAATGGAAGGAGTTGCCCTGTTCCTGCGCTGCCGACACTTTCTGCCCATCCGAGGCCCGCTCGGTCGGCCAGAAGGGCGACAAGGGGCGGGCTGGTTGGCTCTCCCTGTGCCGGCGTTACCCGGGGAGGGCGTGAGCCTCGTTTGGCGAGCAAGCCCACGGCTGCCGAGAATATTCTCAGGATATTGTAGTAGTTGTGAGGGCATTGCTGTCCCGCAAAAAGCCTACGGGCATGTATAAATAGCCCCCAGCCGGATAATGTAAGGGCAGGAACAAGTGAAATAGAATGAGTCTGTTTGTTTCGCTTGTGCTTCGCGATTTTGTTTTCGCTACCTTTAGGGTTTGATTTCGCTTAAGCGACGACCAGTGTTCGAAGGCATAACACTGATTGAGCAGACCAAACAGGCCCTAAAAAGCATGGCACTACCACATGAATGGCCACAGTGCTAGCACCGGCACGGACACTAGAGTAAGGTTGTGACTATGCCGACAAGCCGGTTCATATTGCCGGTCCAGGCACGACACGACTAATAGGCTGGTACTATGCCAGCCCGATTAGTTTTCAATCCTAGATATAAATTAGAAACCACCACCCTCACCACACCGAATTTCTCGCGCCACCATCTCCTCCTTTCCGATACTGCTCCTATCAGCTGCACACCCTTCCACGGACCTTCCTGATCCGGCAATTTGCCCTGCTCTGCTTGACCTCACACCCTCCCGATCCGGTGATCCACCCTACACCGCTCCCCCTCCCCCCACTCCCCTTTCCGTCCACCCCATCCCATGGCTCCCTCTTTGGTCATCCCCTCCACTACCTAGGTGGACGGGAGACATTCTCAGCCTCTCTCAGCTGCGGCTATGACACGGAGCAACGATGATGATAGCGTAGCGTAGCCACATGGTGCAGGAACTACAACAACAATCGTTGCGTGGCGGTGAGGGCAATGGCGCCGCTACGCAAGAAGTGACGGTGACTCCTACAGAGGTGGGGCTAGCACAGGCCCATTGGGTCGCCTTGCTTGTCATGCCGGCACGGCAAGGCTAAAAGGCCGTAGGGCCATGACTAGGCCAAAATGTCGGGCACGGCACGGCGCACGAATAAGGTGTAGTGCCTCCATTTCACCATATATACTTCTATATATTCCTGTCTATAAGACTATAACAGCATCACATAAGAAGTCTGCATCCAGTTATTTAACAACCTTTCAATCAATAGGTGGCACCGATTATAACGTCGGTGGTAGAAATGATAGCCAAGCATGATTAGTGACCATAAGTAATAGCATGTCTTTTTCATTCCACTGAAAAAAACTGGTCATGGGATTACCCACGTTTTGTTGGATGCGGCCATTTGGAGGACAACGGTGGCATATATTCCTAAATTTGTGTACTATTCGCTATTGCATAAGAGCAGGTACCATAATTGGCTTATTGCCAAGCAAATGCTGATGTGGAGAAGAGAATGGAGGAGAGAGAGGAGAGTTTAGCTCTCATGCAAGTATTAAGCTGGGCATGGATACATATACAGTAGTGGATCCATGCATTAAGTGAATATAAGGAGAATTAGGAAAGAGAAGGTGGGGCATGGTAAAACTAACACTAAAAAAAGTTTCTTATAGACAATAAGAGACTATTGTTGTATAGCTTGGCTCTTGTAGCTTGTCTAATAGCCAAACACTTGGCTCTATTATTAGCCTTGCTCTAAGCAGCTTTCCATGTCCCTGCTTCTGCTTTAATACGTTGCATGAATCAAGGGACGCATTTATGTATCAAAATCCAGATTGAAAGTGGCAATGCTAATCATGCAGTACTGGTGTAAGTGGTATAGGCGTTTCCAAGTTCGTTTGCAGTTGGCTTCACCACCAGTGGATATGATAGCACATCATTTCACGTTTCGGATGCGGGAGAGGAAGAACTGAACACTCTGTTCTTAGCCTTTGTTGCCTATGGATTCAAAGGTTCATAGTGAGATTTTCTGTACAAAGTTCTCAGTCATAAACGTACATCAACTTATAAAATAAGAAAGTTTGTAACCCTTATTTTGTAAATATACCAAAATATAACAGTGAATGAATTTGATATGTATATACTGCACCCATTATATGATGATATAAAAGGTTAAGCCAAATTTCCACTTTGAGGCATTAGAGTTGTATACTAAATAAGTAGTAATATATAACAGCAGTTTCAAATATGATGAAACATGGGATTGTAGTATCTAATTGTGCAATTTGCAGGACCAATTCTTTGGTCAGAGAGTCAATAAATGGTGGGAGACAGAATAGATGTATGCGCGTACTCTACCTCGCTATCCCAGTTGGTCAAGAGTGTGATGATCATGAGCAGAAGGACCTGTACCATGAGGCCACATATGATGCCCAACCAAAGCCCCTGTTTGTCAGTGAAACAAACGAACGACATCAGTCAAGAAGTACGTACTGGAACACTGAGAAACACTCGCCGTGTAAAAAAAAATTTGGGGATAGTAATAATAGTTTCATTCAGGAGAAGCTGGAAACCGCACCGTCCCACCGACACGCAGGACGAAAGCAAAGAGGTACGCAGACGGGATGCCCACGATGTAGTAGGCGCCAAGGTTAATGCAGGCACCGATCTTCTGCCATCCACAGCCTCTAGCCACACCTACAATCGCATCAAAACAGAACGAACGCAATTTTGTGGTCTGTTTGGAATGCACGAATTTGGTGGAAACTCCATGACAGTTGAATTTCTGAAAGGTGTAAGGAAAGTAGCTCAAACTCTGCACCTGAAAGAACGCACTGGATCCCATCGAAGAAGTTGGAGACTGCAATGACCAGCATCATCTTTGCCACGTATGTGACGACCTCCTCGACGTTGCTGTAGGCATGCCCCCAGACGTAGCGCACGCACACCAGGATGAGACCCACGGCCAGCCCTTCGGAGACAGACAATATGACGACGACACGCACCGCAAGACGGGCGGCTTCAGGCCGCCCTGCACCCAGCTCATTGGACACGCGAGTGCTGCACCATGATCAGGTCAAGTCATCAGCACCCAAACAAGCAATGAGCAGCAGAGCTTATATTAGGTGATGATCATTGCTTGATTTGGTTCAGAAGTTTAGTACCTGATAGCAGAGCCAAGCCCAAAGGGGATCATCCACACGATGGTAGCAGTGTTAAGGCTGTAAATAAAAGATGCCGTTTATTTTCATTTATGTTCAGCAATGAGGAGCCATTCGCATAAATAAACCTTGGCTTGGAACAATCAGTAACTTCAAATTGCAACCTGATCGATAGCACAGAGGTCTCCAATTTTGGGTTGGGAAGAAGGCCCGAGAGGAGCACAATGAGTTCAAACGACCACATTTCCAAGCTGCAATGCAAAGCAACCGGTGTCCCTCATCCTCGTCAATGTGGCATGGCAAATAGTGCGATTATTAGTCGCTCAGAAACTTCATTAAAACATGAATGACGTACCAGACCATTAGAGCCGACGGGATCGCGAGCCTGAAGAAGCTGAGTGCGTCACGGAAGGCCTCCGTGGAGAAGCCGGTCCACGTCTCCTTGCACGCGCTGGAAACCCTCACATATACAGCCAGTATCGCCACATTGACCCAGTAGGAGACGGCGTTGCTCAGCGCGGCGCCCTTGCTGCCCATCCCGAGAGTGAACACCAGCACCCAGCACACCACCAGGTGGCACGCGGCCGTCGCGCCGGCGCTCGCCATCACGGGCAGCACGATGTTCTGCGTCTGCAGGAACCGTACGTGGCACTGCAGCAGGCCGTAGGCAAAGAGCGCCGGGATCATCCACCGGGCATACGTGCCGGCCTCCGCGGCGATGTCCGCGTCCTGGCCGAACAGGAGGAGGATCTCGCCGGTGTAGAACCAGACGACAGCCAGAGGGACGCTGACGACGGTGAGAAGGAACATGGCGCGCTGCTTGTAGATGCCCAGGAGATAGTACTGCCTGGCGCCGAATGCTTGGCCGCACAGCGTGTCTAGCGCGCTTGCCATTCCCAGCTGCATGCTCAAAGAGAGGCAGAGCAATCAATTATTGCATATATTAAAAAAAAAACTGCATGGGTAGTAGAAACACAATTAGTTAATTAAGAAATGATTTACTCAGATACTGAGAGAGTATGTGCTAGTACTTACTGTAGGTTGTTGGAAGGTGATATCAGCTAATCACGAGATTAATCATGAGATTAAGTTAATGTTTAGTTTTAGTCCACCTGTCGGGTCCGTATCCAACTAGATAAGCTTTGCTGTGATCAGCGGCAACCCTAAGTCATCCCCCAAGCCCGCAGTCAAGGTTCTAAGTCTCACTATCTGCCGCTATCTCTAGATATAGTTGTTGGCAGAGGAGAAAGCTATTTGCTTCTATGTACAATTTAGCTGCTTTTAGCCGATATAGCCCGATTTAGCCCGCTATTAGCTATTTGAGAAGCATGATCGCTAAATGTCTTAGCCCGCTATTTAGAACATGACCGCAGTGCTATATATGTGAGGGGTGATGCCCCGTGCACCACGACCACATGAAACACAACTCCAAACTGGTTGACGGAGTACTGGATGGCTTTGGAAGGTTCACACAACGTGCAAAGCAAACTCGGTGGCGTCCAAAAGGTCACCGCTACCCAGTGTCTTTCCAGTTCATGGACAGAGGGCATCTAAGACCTCAGCATCATTAGCACCACCACAAAACATGTGCATCACCACCAGAGGCTCCTATGACTACGCCCAACTCCTTTTTTTTAAAGTGTCATCGGGGGAATAATCCCCCACTTGAATAGTATCGATATATCATTATCTGCCTTATTTTTAGGGAACGAGGCAAAACCCTTTCATCAGGTTAATTTTTGAAAACTGAACTAAAACCATACAATAGCCCCACCGGTGCAAGGGCAAGCTCATGGCATATCCACTAATAAGAAACAACAACAACAACAGATACCCCAGCACAACGATGAACGGTGGCACAACCACAAAACACTAGTAAGAAGAGGAAAAACTACAACACCAAGGCATAGGAGCTCTTCGACGATGCCTCTAGGGAGGTGAATGACACGAGAATGTAATTATCATCAGCCAAGCAGGAGCTTAGCAAGGCTTTCACCCAAGTCTTGTGCCGAAGAGAACTGCAATTAGCCAGGAGGTAGCAAGAGGTTCTTCAGCGACGCATTCAAGAAGGCAGTTTCGCCCAATGATGTCCCTCATCACTGGCCCAACCGAGAGCTAAGTTGAGCTTTTGCCCAGAACCCTCGCAAGTGCTCTCACAGACGAGGCAACAAATTGCATTGTCGCATTGTCAAGACTCCAGCCACCATGCTGTCACCACCACCATGGGCATAGGCATGGTCGACACCGTCGTACTGCCGAGTCAACGCTCTGCTCTACCCGACAGGAGGCACAGGGGGAGGGCGCCTACGAACACACGCCCCGCCATCGGCTTGCCCACGGCCAAACCACGTGCACAACACACGCACATGTAGAAGAACACTGCACTGCTGCCAGAGCAGCATCCGTGCCTTGAGTTCAAGAGGGCAGCAGTGGTTCCACCAGATCTGGACGAGAGGTTGCCGAATCCAGCAAAGAGACGCCCATAGTCACGCAGCCCCGCCGTCAGCATGCCTACGGCCAAACCATGCCAGGGCCCTTCACACGTAGATGAAGAAGAGACACCACACCATAGAGCAGCACCACCAGATCTGCCCATGAGGCCGACGAATCTAGCCGAGCATACGCCCATGTAGGGGCTCCTCCGCTCTGGAGCACCGCAATGGAGAGGTCACACCAGGGGGAGCTTGCACGAGCACATGTCCACATTTGGTTGTGGAGCACCGCGCTGGGGATTTTGCCGGCCAGGGGGCCGGCCAGCGCTGCGCCGAATGGGTGCCCTGGGGGCCAAATCCGCCCCACCGGTCGTCGGAGAGTGACGATGAGTGAGCCCCCCATAGGCGAGGAGGGTTCCACGCCCCCGCCGGTAGAGCACGGTGCCGACGGGTCGACACATGAGAGCTCCGCGATGGGGGGGGGCAGCACCAGGAAACATCCTGGCCGGGGGCGGGGGGTGGGCGGTCGCTAGCCGCCACCACACCTTGGAACGAGGAGGGCTCGGGGACGCACACGCGTTGGGTCCGAAGCGCCACGCAGGGTGGAGGGTGCCAGCCGCTGTGCCGCCCGGGGGCCCTAGGGGACAAGAGGGCGCAACCACAATGAGTCGTTGTGCGCTACGCCGAGAGGGGGGAGCCTGCCGGTGCTGCACCACACAGGCCGGGGGGCACCAGATCCAGGCTTAGGGGCTCAAATGCACCCCGTTGACCGCTCGGTGACGCCACAGATGAAATGGAAGGAATGAGAGACAGAGGATTTGAGGGGGGCACTGGGGTAGGAGGAAGGGGGGTTGACTGTGGACGGGGCTTGTTTTTAGGGTCCGCCGCGTGCCACCGCTGTCGCACGCTGGAGGGCGGCAACAGCGGCCGAGGAGGTGGCTCAAGGGGAGGGGACTAGCGGCGCCGGTGAGCGCACCTGAGTCTCCGTTGGCGGGGATCAAGGGGGTGACCACCGCCTTTTCCGTGCCAACTCTGGTTTTTCACTCATGTATTCCGTATTATGTAAAATTGTGTGGTCATGAACTCATGATGCTATTCTAAGATCTAAGATCCTGTGTTCGTGTATTAGTACATCATGTTTATGCTTGGATTAACTTTAATATAGGTCTGTGACCATAGGCAAAAAGAACAAATACAGCTCACAAATTAAAACAAATTCATCTACAATACCAGTTGGGGAAAGGACCAGAAGACGACATAGGAAATATTGGTGTCACGTGTTAAAACTTGTCTGCCATCAAGAAAGATCTCACTGGGCCACACATGAAGTTCCACGAAAAAATATAAACCGAGAGAAAAGAACTGATACTAATATTATACTATACAGAAAGCACAATGCAAGTTCTCCTCGCTAGAAGACGGCGTCGAAGAGTCAAAAAGACAAATGATTTTGATGGCGACTGGAGGATTTAATATTCGTGGCTCGGTAGTCTCTGATCTTCCTCCCCATCAGAGAGGAGGTTGTTGCAATTGCAAGATGGATGAAATGTAGTACAGCAACTGGGAAACACACTGTAGCCTAGACACCGACACTTGAGAAAATAAAAGCTCGTGGGTAGTGACAGCAAAACCAACTGATTCTGAGAGTGGCCAAGAAGGACACCATGCAAGTGATTCGATCGTCTTATGCGTAGCAAATTACTAGTACTAGTACTCAGAACAGGCCATTCGGGCGTGGAAGTGAGCTTGGTGAGTAGAGTAGGAGTTGGTAGTATGTGGTTACCAGCAGGCTGAGGCCGGTGACGGAGGCGAAGGAGTTGGCCATGGAGGCGCCGGCGAGGGGCAGCTCCCCAAGGTGTCCCACGTACATGACGGAGATCATCTGGATCACGTTCTGCAGCAGCGCGCCGGCGATCATGGGCCCAGCCAGCCATAGCTGCTTCTTCAGCTCCTCGCGCACGCTCAGGATCTCCTCCTCCTCGGGCTCGCCCGCTGCGAGGAGCGCTTCCTCGACTGCTGGCCTCTTCGCCATGACTATCTCTATCTTTCTATGCGCTGCCAGCCGCTGAGCCGGACTTGGCTTGGCTTGGCTTGGCTTGTTGGCCTAGCTGCTGCTGTTGCTGCTTTTCTCTTCCCCTCCCCTGCCTCTGCCTGACTGCCTCTGTTATTGTGTTTCAGCAGTCAGCAGTCGACACGTCCACTTTGTTTGTGCCCTGACATTTCCAGATTTATACGGGATATATATACGACTGTAAGATCGCACAAAGTGGAATGGGTACTACTGGACGTCAGCTTATTACAAGAAACTAAAAATCCAATTTCCGATGGGATATTCTGTCCCTGTTTTATCAACTAAAAACGCGCCCTCATGGAGAAAACAGAAACAACTTCACTTTCTGGTTATGTCGTGCCTTATCTTCTTTCTCTTGCTGTATTTGTACCCCGAGAAAAAAAATACAAGCTGCGTCTGAGTTTTTTTTTTCCGCCGTGAGAAAAATTTGAATCAAAGATCAAACAGTGTCGTGAGATGGGATGGGGATGCCCAAGCAAGCAGTTCACTTTCCACCCGGCTTTTATATTCCTGACAAGCGGCCTGTTCGCTGCTTGGTTTCTGGACTGGTTTGGACTGGCTGGTGCTGGTTTGTTATGAGAGAAAAATACTATTGACTGACTAATTTGGGCTGGCTAAAACCAACAAGCGAACTGAAGAGCTCCAATACAAATATACAATGGTTCCAAACAGTCAGAGGCAGCTGCAGCTCCAAGTTTTGCTGCAGCGTCGTCACTCGTCAGAGAGGGTAGAGGCGGGCAGTCAACGGTCAACACAACGCAACGCAACAGGCAACAGGAGCAGCAGCACAAGTAAACGTTTGATCGGCAACGTAATGGTGAATGATCCCAGACACATTAGTTCTTCAGCGGTAGGAGTAGTATATTAGTAATATCTCTCTCTGCACGGCGTCGACTTTTGATCTGCACGGTGGATCATTCGGGTCCGACTCCGAGGGGTACACTATTTGACCTGACATGTAAATCCCGTTGCCTTACAGAGTACAGACACAAGTGCTTGGCGCTGATCTGGTCCACTTTCAAAATATTTATTATTGATTATATTATTAGTTCGAAAACATAAAATCATATCTCCCGGTTTATTTTGAAAAAGGGGTTTTCATATATCTATTTATACTTCCTCTATCCCGAAAAAAATGTAAATCTCATTTCTCGGGAAGTCAAAGATAGTGTATCATTAGATTAATCACGAAATATATTATCATAATAAACCTAATTGGAGATCTAAAATTAGATAATAATAAATTTAGTCAAACTTAAGATTCTTTGACTCCCCGTGAAGAGAGATTAAATTCTTTTTGGGACGGAGAGTAAAAAATAGTACATATTATTTACTGGGAGACGTTTATTAAATATATCAAAATGTGAAGAGACCGCTAACTAGCGGACAAGTAAAAGTTGATTGGAGGTTGGAGTTGAAACGGATCAAATATATCAAGATAGTACATATTTCAAAATAAATTCCCATATGAATTTAAATATTCTCAAATACAAATAAAATTGGATCCTTCTAATCTTAATTCCAATATCACACACCTTCAATGGTAATTTTACTCTTAATTTTAAAATTTGTGTTTTTGCCCCTGTTATTTCAACTCGAAGGCAAACTTTCTCCCTATTCTTTTAAGTCATTGTAATAGTGTTAATTCTAAGATGCAATGATTGTTTTGCCCTTATGGATTTGCCCCCGCTTTTGTTGATCTTTCTAGTTTTACCCCTTTTTGGCCTCAAAGTTTTAAACATTATTTTTTTTACATATTTAACAAGGATTTTAGTAACAAAATTTGACACAATTTGCTGATATATTTTAAATATATGCAAACTTTTGACAAAATTTATGGCATACACAATTCATTATCACAATCACACAATTTGGATTTGATCATGAAACCATAATTGACAACCATAACATAGTAACATGTCCATATCACATTAACACATCTAGTAGTGAGGCTCTTTTAAAAGAAAGACCGTGGAGTAGAGCTCCCCAATATATGTAACCTCATCCTACAAATTCGCTCCCACAGGGCCAGAGTCGAACCTAAGACCTGAGGACTGCTAGTAGAGCCACCTAAACAACTCAACTAGATGTCCGTTAGCAACTAGTAGTGAGTTTTGACATCTCTAGTGCCAAATATTATGTTCAACCATCAAAATGTACACACTAGCAAGCCACACAATAGTTCCTCCTCTTGTGTTGCCTTATACATTTTCTATGTTCTACTACCAATACCCTTCTTCAAGTTATTTAAAAATCAAGTCCAACTTTCCTTCGATTTAGCCTCAGTCACTCCATATGCCATGGGAACAACCAATTATGACCATCCATTTCTAAATCTAAAGAATATTGTATTTATGGAAAAGCATATCATGACTAATATTGTGACAAATAGAGAATCATGTTTCCATGTTATTAAAAAATTTAAAAACAATATTTCGGTGATATATTACATTATATTTAATGGAATGTCGGGTTAGATGAATTAAAATATAACATTATTAATATCCATATCCCTTTCATTCTAAATTGTAAGTCATTCTGTCTTTTTTCTAGATGCATAGATCTTGTTGTGCACCTAGATATATATTATGTCTAGATAAATAATAAGAGTTATGTATCTAGAAAATCTCGAACAACATACAATTTGGAATGGAGGGAGTATCAATTTATATAATTTTAAAAATTATATTATTTATTACCATTATATAGTGAACAAGATAGTGCTTATTTTGGGGACATAGTAAGACGGATGGCCCAGTCTTGGTTCTATATTTGTTAGTGGGATAGAACTATTCTTGTTTTTCTTTGGTTAAAGTCATATCAAAAGTGGGATGAGGTAGTGTGAACCGAAAGTTCCTCAATTGTTTAGATTCTTTGTGGTGGAACAAGTGTACCAGGAGTCAAGTCCTCGACACGGATGTTCACATGTTGCTAATCTTATTATGGGATTTAACGATACTATTTAGCGCTAGGTGATGTGCCCTGTGCCCATCAACTGTGAGACATTTGTAGTGACTTTAGCAGTATGAATAGTTCAATACCTACTGGCTTAGTCTATTCGAGGTGCTCACTAGGTAAGGTATTCATGCACACGTTTAAAGGAGTGAGAGTACATGTATGTGTGTATCTAAGCATATGCATTTGTACTATACTTTGCAGCAAAACTGAGATGACACACCGAACAAGTGATCTCAACATGTCATCATCTTTTCCTTATCTTTTCCATCCATTGCATCACTAAAAACAATCCTTTGATCGCTTCTCTCCATCCATCAAACCAAATCGACCTATCCATCATTTGGGATATCATTGTCCATGTTGAGCACTAACCATGCCTCAGCTATCCCATCAAGATCTGCCTACACCCCCCCCCCACACACACATTGACCTCCATCTATCCCTCTCATCTTTTCCCTACGTGACATGCTAACCCCACCTAGGACTGCGTCACCCTCATCTAGGTTTCGCCACCCTCATCTTGTCCCAATCAAGATCGCCCTCATCCACGCTACATCAACCCATGCCAGCCCTACCAAGTTCACTCGTGTCTTCATTCTCTTCTCCATGCACACCCACTACCAGTGCTCGCCTCCTAATTTCCACACTCATGCTAAGGAGTTAGTGTGTGTCCCAAGCGGGACAGATACGTCCTAGATCTAGTGGGTTTATTCTCTAATGTGATCGTTTCATTCCTGATGTCTGTAAACCAAACAACAGCACAAATTGGATCGTGTTCTTGTCAACATTATACTAAACATTACTACCCACCAACAAGCTCTGCTGATTTTTTTTTTGTCCTTGGCTTCAACAAGTTGATGGCAACTTGCGTTCTCAAGTTTATGTGGGAGCAAGCACAATCATTTGGTCTATTTGGTTGAGTCAAAATGATTTGGTTTTTGACAAAAAGATATTATCTTCTTATTTACATGTTGTTTTTAGGGCTACACATTGGACACGCTCCAGGTCCATCTTATAAAAGGACCACAACTGACCAACATTAAAGTGGGCAAGTTGTATCCTAGAGATAGTAGCAATGGAGATCTTCGCCAAACATGAGTGACCGTTTTCGAGTAGACTTATTGCATAGTTTATTTCTAATTCTTGCTAGAGACTTGTCTTGAATTAAACTTTGATTAAGTGCATATTTTATGCAGAGATGGGAATAAAACTTCCCTTTTCTAAAAAATAATGTCTCAGCTAAAGCACCGGTATTTATATCCAATATCAAGTTATACAAATAAAAAGATTAAACTTAATATCACAATCCATTTCCCTACTTTGTTGTATTTGTCTCTCTTACTCATGGATAACAAGAAGTTTGTCTACACCAGTAGAGAAACTACTTTTACTCCCGGTTCGCAACCCCCTTTAGTCCCGGTTTTGGAACTGGGAGCACGAATCCGGGACTAAAGGGCCCTCCTTTAGTCCCGGTTTTACGCCGGGACTAAAGGTGGATTTTAGTCCCGGTTGGTAATACCAACGGGGTTAAACTTTTAGTCCCGGTTGATAATACCAACGGGACTAAAGGTTTTTTTTTTCTTTTTGTTTCTATTTCTATTTTCACGCTGCTACCAGGTTTTTTGTTTCTATTTCTATTTTTCTTTTTTTTTTTTTTTCTATTTTCACGCTGCTAGAACTAAAGGTTTTCTTTTTTTTGTTTCTATTTCTATTTTCTTTTTTTTTCTTTTTTAATTGATGATTCGTTTTGGTTTTTGAATACGCATTCTACGCTGCTAGAATATACGACGTTTATAATGTTCAACATTTTGTATAAACTATAGTACGAAGGACCTTTAGTCAAGGATCGGTACAATCCCATAGAGCAGATCCTGTTCAAGTTCGTCTTTGCATGGTTCGAGAGCTGAGCTTTAGTTAGCTTTCACTTTTCCGAACAAAGCGAGGTGGTGCTAATAGGTGGACCGCCAGCAATTCCAAAGCATATTGCGACTTGGCCGCCCATC